AGGTATTTTAAAGCCACCTTCACAATGGTTGAAAATAGAAAGCAAAAATCAAATAAAAAACATAACTGAGAAGTGGAATTGAACATGTTATATTGATTCTTACAAAATTTAACAACCTATAAGGATAAAACATCTCAGGAGACCAAAGATAGAACCTCTTAGAATGGCTGTATTCTCAACAACTTTTACATTAAAGTTATAAATCCTGATTCTAACAATGGCACTGGACTGAAGGTCTTAAACCTTTGAATTCTCTAATCTTTATTTCCTGTCCTGACTTCTCTTCCTAACTCTAGACTGTATTTCACCACTTTCTGATGGTCAGAGGAAGTATGTTACTAAACAGTCTTTTTCTAACTTCCGTCATCCCAGCACTGTTGTTTCATGTTTTGCCATAACTGTATAATCCTTATACTACTGGTTCTTATTAGTTTTCTTCACATTGAAAGGATCATTTCATGTTTACATGGTCTTTACATTACATTGTTTACATTTAATTTTTTTTTGTATAAAACTTAAAATCATAGCTACAACTGGAAAAGCAGTATAATTAGCCATCAATAAAATGATAGATGGCTAAAATATATAAAACACGATTATTAAATTCTCATTAGGTGTTATTTTCTTCCAAAATCTGAGGCCTGTTCTCTCTTGGATAAAACAAAAAGTGTCTAATGTTAATGCCAGACTGAGGCTATTTTCTTGATATAAGATTTTTAAAGGATTTAAAGAGAACTGGGAGTTATGGTGTGGATAATGGCAGAATATTAGAATAACCCTCCTACAGATAACAATGATAAAGCCTGGACAACATATAATCAAACTACTACTTAAGCCACTGGATAGGGGCCAAAAGCAGACAGAAACTGGAGGGAACTTCAAGCCTTAAAAGAAGGGAACCAGGGGCGGCCAGTTAACTCAGTTGGTTAGAGCACACTGCTCATAACACCAAGGTTGCCAGTTCAACCCCCACATGTGCCACTGAGCTGCGCCCTACACAACTAGATTGAAACATCTACTCAACTTGGAGCTGATGGGTCCTGAAAAAACACACAGTTCCCCAATTAAAAAAAGAAAAAAGAAGAAGGGAACCATACACCCTGGAGAGATCCACATTTATACAGATATCCCCATGTCGGTGCAGCATGGGGCAGGTAGAATTCAAGCAGAAATCTGCAGTCTCATTGGCTTGAGGTCCCAGAGTTAAAAAGCTAAAAGAGGAACAAAAATTGAATACTAAAAAATATTNCATGGCTGGGGCAAAAGCCCATGGGTGGAGGCTCCCACCCACCCACCCAGGACTAAACACGGGAAATGGCTGGGGTGCTGCTGGGCAAACTCTCTTAGAGCCGGGAGGGCGGCGCTCCTCTCTGGGCTCCATCGGCCGGGCTCGGGAGTGCGGCCACAGTGGGGAGCCTACCGACACAATGGGGAGACCCGCTAGCCCCCGCCGCTGTCCAGCACCCCACGCACGTGTATCTCGGGCACACGTGGCCTTGGTAGTCCAACCATTCTGCAAACCGCTCAAATCACCGAACCACCCGCCTACCGGGTGCACACACCCAGTGGGCACGGCCCCAGGCCCCGATCTACCCCAAATGCATAAAACTCGGGGTTTGCCCAAACGGGCGCCGCCCTGGAGGGCCATCAGTCGATAAGCAGCACTCTCTCCGCGGAGTTGGAGGGAGTTGGCCCGTGCCCAGCACCCACCACGCCCGCCCCTCTGGCTCGCCCACCCAGCCCTCACCGGCACGCGGCGAGTGTCCATGCTGACGGCGGACGCCGAGGCCAGCGCTTGGAAAGGGGAGAGCCGAGCAGCAGCGCGGGAGCCGCGGTCCCACAGAGCAGCAGGCGCCGGAGCCCAAGCCTCGCGGCGGGCGGGCGGAGCGCGCAGACCGGGGCCCCGAGGGGCGGGGCTTTGGACGGCTTTCCCGCGGTGGGGCGAGGTCCTGCAAGCTGTGGTAACGTACGCCCGTGCGCGATACCCGCTCAGCCCCGTAAAAAAAAGAAACTCCCAAAATGTTCTGAACTCAACTGATAGCCTTGGCCTCTCCCAAAATCCGCCTTGGAAAAGTGGTGCTTTGGGGGCTTCAGGACTCCTCTCTTTACGTTGCTGCACGGTCCTGAACGAATGGCGCGAAAGTGGTTCGTATTGCCCCGGGGTTAGCAGGCTGATTTGTATGAATTCCGGGGCTGGGAAGGGAAATGTAAAGACGGGAGTAATGGAGAGCAGCGCTAGTCCTGAGTTTTGGCACTTAGCACCTTCACTACGACGTCCGGTTCACATTATGAAAAATAAAAATCAAAGAATCAAGCACAAACTCCACCATTTATTAGCCCAGTCACTGTCCCTGGGTGTAACACTTCTTATCTGATAGACACGCCATTATCTAAAGCTGTAAAATGCGTTAAATCCTGATTTTTTTGTGTGTGTCAGAAAACAAGGGAAACCGAGTTGTTTTATCTAAGACTTGAGGTTTTTTAATTAGAAAAAGGCGCTGCCGTTAAGACTTGTCTATGGGATAAAATCTTCAGAGATAATCTGTTGTGGATAGAAGCTAAAGAGTATTAATGTGGTATGGCGATCCTTTCTCACATCAGAATTTAGAATTATCTAAATCAGAATGAATGTGAGATGCTTTTTATTGCCCTTTTACTCAAATCTGACGTTGCAACGAAGTCAAGTGGGAGGCTTTTAAAATTTTTTGGAAAGAGCAGGACGAAAGAAGCTTTTAGAAGAAAAAGTAAAATAAACTGAGTTGTCTTAAAAAGACCCTGATTATAATATTACATTTAAAATTAGTGCTTGAAATGAAAACACTCGCATGTTTCCCCCTTCAAAACTTTTCTGTGGAATAATTCCTTTGCAGTAAGAGCATGCGTGAACACCGCGTTCCTCTTCCGGGACCGACGTATTGAATACAAAAACTTCTGCTCACAATAACAATGCAGGAGAGCAATAGATTGGAACACTTGGAAGTGACTTGGTCGGGATCTTACAGCCTTTCTAAAAAAGCCTGCCCATGGTCACAGTGACACAATGTAAGTGACAAAAGAACTCACGGTCTCCCAGGTAGGCGCCAGGAGAGGCTGTTGGTCTGCCTGGTAAAATTCCTGGCAGTAGGAGGGGCACTCAATAAATATTTGTTGAACTAATTAACTACTACATGAATGGTGAACGAACTAAAACTGTAGTTAGTGCTGTGTCCTTGGGAACACAATCTTGTGCCACTAAAATTAAATATATGAGAGTTTGGAATTGTGTAAAATACATGAAGTAGGGGAAGATTAAGTCACTTTGCCCATGAAACGTTCTGATAGGAAAATTCTTAGTCTTCCTGGGGCACTCGGAAATAATTTTGTTTACATACTTTTTTAAGGATCAGATCTCTGGTTGATCAGTCTTTTTAGTAATCAGGCAAATGCAAATTAAAACAAGGATATACAGTTTGACTAGCAAAAATTTTAAAGCCTGATAGGACCAGGTGTTGCTAAGGATATGAGGAAATTCTGGCAATAATGTTAGTAGCGTGCCTTTTTTACTTCAGAGAGCAATTCATGAATGTTTAGTAAACCCCAACAAAACCACTTGTAGGGCTGGCTGAGTGGTGTGATGGTTAAGAACTCGCTTGGGACGCCAGAGGACCCCGGTTAGGATCCCACATATGAGGGCCAGTGACACTGCCCTCCACAGCTAAGATGCTGAACAACAGCTCAATCTGGAGCTGGGCTCTGGTGAGTCTCCGGCCACAGCGTAGGCTGCAGTCCCCTGCTGCAGTGGGTTGCCATAAGCTACCGTGTGTGGCCAGCAGCCAACGTGAGCAGCCAGCAGCCGCCATGAGCCACCGTCCAGAGGCCAGCGACTGATCTGCCTCGCCCGGGAAGAGCGCAATGAT